TGAGCAACGTAAAACTCTATCTGAATTCGAAATGTTATCCATACGATGATATGAATCTGGATTTCGATAAAAACAAATGGTCGAGTCTGTATGATGCGTTTTCGCGGTTCCGGAAGAGCTATTTCTGAAACGAGGTTCTTATGCCCGGTCTCACTACCGACAATTTTCTAGAACAAGGACCGTTTGTCATCGATTGCTCCCGACAAAACGTCGGAGTCGGTCAAGAGCGCGACTGTGGACGTAAGATTGGAATTTGAGTGTAAGGCGAATGTGCCAGTAAATACCACTGCGTACTGTCTCATCATACATGATCGTGTGGTTCAGTACAACCCGCTGACCAGCGTCGTGCGCAAAATTCCCTAAGTACTACATTTTGGATACAATGGTTTCCCCTCTTTCCAATACAGTTTAGAGGGGATGAAACGATTTAAAATCTACTATGTATCAAGAGCAACCGCAGTATTCCTCCTTCTCTCGACGTCTTCAATCATGTCCATACCGACGTTTGTGGACCTGCAAGGCTTCGTCGTCAGCGGTAACTGTGTTGTGAAGGAATTTGCCGCTCTCCGAGAGGGACGCGTTCTCTCTCACTACATTTTCACATGTCCCGTACCATGGAGGCTTCTCACCAAAGCGGAGCAACATCAGGCATCCTGGTTGATTGCAAATCGTCATGGAGTACGATGGGAAGACGGAATGATTCCATACAGCATGGCTAGAAGTCTGATTACAACGGCTGTGGTCGGCATGGAAGATGATGACGATCTTTTCCCTTCCCCCCTTATTGTAGTTTTAAGTAATGTATTTTCTTGTTAATTTTCTACAAAGGGTTTCAGGCGGTTTACGTGCACTCGTAGGCTTCTTCGCCCCATTTTTATTGTGTAATTTATTTCCGAGTGCTTTTCTATTACAACGTATGGACCTATCCATTGAGGATCTAGTTTTTTCGAGCGTCCTCTCCTTACGGTTTCGTCGTGTAGGAGTACCTTTTCCCCTACTTTAAACTCTACAGTTTTAGTTCGTTTGTCATATTGCGTTTTTGCTTTTTCTTTCTTGACTATTAAGTGTTCGTTCGCTGTCTGTTGCGTATCTCGCATTCTCTCGCGTATTTCTTGCGCGTAGTCATCGTACAAGTACGTCTGTCGCGGCGGTTGAGTCAGGGCCGTAGGTAGAGTCGCTTGGTGCCCGTATATCAATTCGTGTGGAGTGTATCCTGTCGCGCTATGTGGCGTTGTGTTATATGTAAACATTGTGTACGGGATCCATTCATCCCAATCACTTTGATCCTCGTATATGTAGTGTCGCAAGTACTCTGCAATAGTGCGATGCGATCTTTCCAGAGCTCCATTGCTTTCTGGGTGGTAAGCCGTCGTCTGGATCTTTTTTATTTTTAATAATTTGCACGTACTCTTGAATACGTCGCTTAGGAAATTGGTACCTTGATCGGTCAGTACCTTTTCGGGTATGCCGTGTTCTAAAATTATCGTCGTTACGAACATTTTTGCGACCGTGACTGCTTCCTGATTCGGTATGGGGATTGCCTTACTAAATTTCGTTAGACTGTCTTGGAACGTCAATAAGTATTTGTTTCCCTGAGTAGTCGTTGTCAACGGTCCTACAATATCTAAGGCACATTTTTCGAATGGCCTATCTGGTGTGTCTGTTACCACCAGTGGTACCTTATTCTTCGTGACAATTTATTTTTCTGGCACTTTTCGCATTTTGAGATGTGCTCTTCCACATCCTTCGTTAACCCTTTCCAATTATGAGTCAACCGAATTCTTCGTATGGTGCGGACCACTCCGATGTCCTCCCACAGGCGCATCATGGTATTCATACAGTATTTTCTTCTTTTCCTCTTCTGAATATTCGCGTTCCGTCGTTGTGTCGGTTTCTTCGACGGTATTTACGTCAGCAACGTGTCGGCTGAGCGCGTCAGCATTTTTGTTTATCTCACCTGCCTTGTGTACGATTACGTAGTCGTACTCTTCTAATTTTAATCGCCACCTTATTAGGTGCGATCCTAGATCGTTTACACTAAATAGCCACACTAGAGATTTGTGGTCTGTGACTATCGTGAATTTCGTTCCGTATAGGTACGGTCGGAAGTGTTTGACCGCCCATACTATGGCTAGCAATTTTTTTTCCGTAGTGCTATAATTTTGTTCGGCTTTATTTAAGACTCGACTCGCGTATGCTATTGGTCTATCTTTTTTCCTATTTTTCCCTGCGATAATACTGCTCCAATCGCATGATCGGATGCATCAGTCGTCACCATAAACAGCTGTTCGAAATCGGGATACTGCAGAACGGGCGCTGTCGTCAACTTTTCTTTTAAAATATCAAACACTTGTTGTTGCTCTTGCGTCCACTCAAATTTTGTTCCCTTCTTCAGTACATTTGTCAAGGGTTTTGCTATTTTAGAGAAATTTTCTATAAATCGCCTATAATATCCTGCCAGTCCGATGAAGGTCTGGATATCCTTTTCTTTTTCTGGCGTCGGAAACCTTTTAACTGCTTCTAATTTTGTTGGATCCGGGAGGATTCCGTTATCTGTTATCTTGTGTCCGAGGTACGTCACCTCTTTTCTTAGGAATTCGCACTTGTCCGGCTGTAATTTTAGATTATTCTCTCTTAGCCTTTTTAATACTTCAACGAGTCGTTTGTTGTGTTCCTGTAGACTATGCGCATATATGACTATGTCATCTATATATACGAGACACTTGAGTTCCTGTAATCCGGTTAATACGGCATTCCTTACTCTTTGAAACGTAGCTGGTGCCTTTTTTAGACCAAATGGCATTCTATTATATTCGTAGTGCCCATGTGGAATGGAAAATGCTGTTTTTTCCTTATCAGCTTCCTCCATTTTTATTTGGTGGTATCCCGAAGCTAGATCCAGCGTCGAAAAATATTTTGCATTTCCCAACTGATCTAATATGTCCGTCATGTTTGGTATCGGGAACGAATCGCCTATTGTCAGGTCGTTTACCTTTCTGAAATCGACTACGACTCGTAGTTTCGGTTTTCCTAAGGCGTCCGCTTTCTTCGGGACCACTAACAGTGGCGCATTCCACTGACTCGTGCTATGTCTTATTATGCCGTTCTTCAGCATTTCTTGCACTTGTCGGTCTACCTCCTGCTTGTGCTTTTCCGGTAGGCGATATGGTCGCACGTTGACCGGGGAGCTATTTGCCTGCGTAGCAATTTTGTGCTTTACAGCTTCCGTACAAGTCAGGGGTTCTCCGTTCATGTGAAATATATCACTGTACTCTGTGCAAATGTCGATTATTGATTTTCTTTCCTCGTAGTTTAAATGTTCCGTGCGCAATAGCTCGGTTACCCTTTTGCTTCTTGGAATTTCTCCGTTTACACACTCTATATGTATGTGTCACGTTGATTTCTTCGGTCTCGCTTTGAGTGACTTCCTTTATTGTTACTTGCGGCATCGGCATCTCTATCACCGCGTCTGTAGTATTTAAAATGCTTGCTGCGCATATAAAATTTTTTGGTTCCACCAGGCAATTTCCTATGAATACCCCTGGTCGTGTTTCCTCGGCTTGTATTATGCCGATCATATTCTTATCAGTAGCCACTTGTATGATCGTTTCACTTCGTGGGTTTAGTGCTATTTTACAGTACGGGTACAGTTTTAAGACTTGCTCCTATTGTTACCTGTTTTCTTCCGTAGTCGCATTTAGCCTTTTGCTTCTTTACAAAATCGACTCCAATGATTTCATCATATTCCATTGGGAAGTCATCCTTCACGACATACATGGCGTGTTTTATTCGTGCTTCTTTCAGCTTTATTGTCGCGTTGATTTTTCCTAAGGTCTTTACCTTGCGACCTGTTATGCCTGTTAACGTTATTTCGTTTTCTTCGATTAGCGTTTCGCCCTTTAAGTGCTTCACTTTAATTAGTGATATTGCGGCACCTGTGTCAAATAGCATGCTCTTTTCCTCGCTTCGTTTCCTGAATGGGCAGGTTAATCAGATCTAAACCCGTGTTACGTCTCGGTGTATCTTTCACGTGTGCAACCTGATACTCGAGCGCGCGGCGCTTCTTCTTTTCATCCTTCTATCGTCGTCACTGCATGCCGCTGAGTTGGCGCTCTTTTCTTTGTAGTTGTTACGCTCATCGTTGTTCCTTTTCGCTTTTCCGTGTGAGTAATTGTCTTTAGCGTATCTCGCGCTATTATTTTCCAATTTCCCGTGCAACTGCCAGCATTCCTCTTGGACGTGTCTCGGTTTTTTGCAATATTTGCAGTGCTTCTCCACCGCATTTACTCTGGGTGTCGTCTCGGGTTTCGGCAGCTGAAAACGATTCCGGGTTTTCCGCATGTGTGACATGTTACTTTTGTTTTATTGTCTTTCGGCTGCGAGTTTGCATAGCCGTTTCTATACCGTGCCGTTTCCTTCGGACTATTAAATTTTTCCTCGGCACTTGCGCCAGCTATGGCGTCTTGCATGTTCTCGTAGTTTCGGGCTCTGACGAGCAGTTTTATTTCGTCTCTCAGTCTCAGCTGGTAATTTTGCAACGCTTGTTGCTTTATCGTCTCCAAGATGCCCTGTTTTACCCCTGACGGGCGACATATGTTTTCTGTCATGGACTCGAATAATTCGTTAGCCAACTTTTCGGTCCGTAGTCCAAATCCTTACGCGGTTTCTCCCGTTTTTTGCTTCAACGTGTTGAATTCAAGCTGCAAGTGCGTAGTGCTCTTCTTACTTTGATAGCACACGACTAATTCTTCTTTTAATTGTTCAAAATCTCTAATCTCTCTAGTGCGAAAGTCTGTCAAGGCTCTGCCTTTCAATTTAGTGTACAATACGCCTTCTAATAGTGCTCCTTCGTCGAGTGGATCGATACTTTTCACTGCGTAAGTTATGACACGTAAAAATTCTTGAAGTTTGCTTGAGGTTCCATCGAACGGGGGAATCGAGTTTCGTGCTTTCTTTAGGGACATGTATCTTCCGTTCGTGCTGCGTTCTCCCGGCTGACCGGAATATTGTGCAGGCGATGTCAATTGGTTCGGTGATCTTATGTCATCGTCACGTCTGCTGGTGTTTTTTACCACGGTCTGTCCCGGGTCGCGTATTCGTTCGCGATCTTGGATTTTACTTATCTCTATCCGCATGTCGCGTATTACGCTTACTAATTCGGACTCTGTAGCTCGTATATCGTCGTTTTGCGCGGTGGGCAATACTACCCCGCTTTTAAACGGTGTAATGTCTCTGTTAGCCCCGGGTAACAACCCTAACGCTTCGTCTATTTTTTGACCGACTGCGTTCGGATCCGTTCCTGTCGCGTGCGCCATGTCCCGTTGTTCTTTCGAATCGGGTTTACCTGTCGCGATTGAATTTAA